GTTGTTTATCAAGACATGTTACAAAGTTCTTTCGGGTCTGCTAGTGAAGGCCCAAAGTGGCATACCACTCCACTGTACGTCTCAACCTGAAGGTATTCAAGCGTAACCTCACTGGGTCAACAAATCTTGCACTAAGTGCCCAGGGGCACACCATTCCAGTCTGCCTTGGCCCAAAGGCACTCAGGCTAGACTTCTGTGGGTCAGCAAGTCCCACTTCCCCTACAAGGTGGCCAGAGGCACCCACTCCACAAGCCAGCCTCCTGCACAAAAGCACTCGTCTTTCCTTGCTCGGTGGGCTGGGAAGGCCACCACTCTGTTCCATCCTCCGGCTCCTGGTTCTGCTGCTGCTCCTCTGAGGGGACAGCTGTCTCCTGGATCTAGAAGGTTCACTATGATATGGATCTCAGCACCGGAGAACGCACCCCATTCCTCTGCCTCCTGCTTCTCAGCAGGGCTCGTTTTATACACAGCAGGATGGCACTCCAAGACTCCTATTTGACTCCTAGGTGAGTCCTACTAGTGTATTCCCCCACCTTCTTGCCAGGCCCATCCAGGGAAAGGTAGTTTGGTGGGAGTTAGAGACTTTGGCTAGATGAACCACATTAAAGAATTCACTGCCCCACATGTATATATTCTCACATTAACCTAGCCAGGTAAAGCATACCTGCTATGAGTTCAACAAAGAAAATATATTATAAATAAATAAAAAAGAAGTGGGCTTAAAAAAATTTTTTTAAGGATAACTTTATTGGGGGCTCTTATAGTTCTTGTAACAATCCATACATCAATTGTACCAAGCACATTTGTACATATATTGCCATCATTGTGTTCTAAACATTTACTTTCTATTTGAGCCCTGTTTTATTTTAGCTTATATCAGATCTTTTTCTCCCCCTCTCCCTTTTCCTACCCTCGTAACCCCTTGATAAAATACAAATTATTATTTTCATATCTTACATTGACCGATGTCTCCCTTCCCCCATGGTTTTTGTTGTTCCTCTCCCTAGGGGTGTGTGTGTGTGTGTGTGTGGTTATATGTCAATCATTATGATTGATTTCCCCTTCCTTCCCTTCTCTCCCTACCTTCCCCCTACTCTCCTGGTACTGCTGCTCCCATTTCTGTTCCTGAGGGCTTTATCTGACCTGGATTCCATATGTCGTGAGCTCTTATCTGTACCAGTGTACATGCTTCGGTCTAGCCAGGTCTGAGGTCATGATAGTGGGGGGTGAGGAAGCCTCAAGGAACCAGAGGAATATTGTGTGTTTCATCAAGTGCACATTGTAACAAATGCCATAAAAACAGAAAGCAGAGTCCCTGTGGAAGGGGGCTGGGGGGTGGGGCAACTGTAGAGCTCTCTCCAGAGTCCCAGAGACTGGGAGAGACATTAAGAGATGGGAGGAAATGTCGAGCCAAGTGCCAAGGAGGGAAAGAAGCAACAGTGAAACTACGGCCCTCTGCACTTAACCCTGACTCTGAACAAGAGCCGGGGGCGACAGCAAGACAATGGGGAACCAAGGGAGCTAAGGTGGTCACGAGAAGCCGGTCTCCACAACAGAACCCCTCTCCAGAAGGCCAGGCCGGTGGCCCCGGCACACAGGGTACATGCGCATCACGGCCTGTTGGAAGTCTTGCAACCTGCTCCCCCTTTGGATCATCTCAGTTTGTTTCTTATCTTTGTCTCCCACAGGATGATCAGAAAGGCAGGCAGTGCCTTCCTTTCAGTAGATCCTTCCCAATGTCTTCGGAGGGCAGGCTGGAAAACACCCCAGAGGTAGCCATGGGCTAAGCCACAAGGGACTTGCTGAGACCAGTGTTCTTGTCTGAGGGAAATGACTGCTACTCCCATGTTTAGCTTCCTGCCATCAAAGGGGGCCTAAGGGGGCCTAAAACGGTACAATAGTGCCCCTCAAAAGTGGTCCAGGACAGGGCAGTTTAGCTACTATGAATTTTTTTAACATTGAAAGTCTATTATTTTAAATGAGATCCTAATACTTAAGTACAAAATAATCCAATATATGAATACATACTTATTATACATTTTATCATCTAGCTCCATTGCCACTGAGTCAATTTCAACTCATGGTGACCTCAAATCACAGACTCTCCATGTGGGGAGGGATCTTTTTGGGGGTTCTTACAGCTCTTACAACAATCCACACATCCACTGCATCAAGCACATTTGTATGGAAGGTATCTTTAAAGGAGATGTAAAATATGCACCCTTCTCCAAACTTTGTACTAACCTAGCGGCTTCTTGCCCACTAACAAATGGTTTCCCTTCCTGTTCCTAGCTCCTCTCCTACCCCACCTGCAATGGTTCGGAGAAGAATGGCTGTCTTTGCAGACTGCGGCCCTGGCTCGAAGCTTCGCTCAGGGAGTCTGCAGGTGAAGGAGGACGTGGGAATGCAGGGAGAAGAAGTGGTCTGAGAGACAGAAAGAACCAGGACAACAGATGGAAGAAGGAACAGGCAGGACTCCTGCCAGCTCCCCCGTCATGGCAGAAGGGCGCTGCCAAGTGCTACCATGTTGCTCCTGCAGGTGGCGCTCCATCCCATGGGTGGCAGAACACCAGAACATTTTTTGGATCCTAGATCCTGAAACTGGGAGCCCTGGTAGCAGAGAGGTTATGCCTTTGGACTGAGATCCCCCAAATTCGGTGGTTTGAAACCACCAGCTGCTTCATGGGAGAAAGATGGGGCTTTCTACTCCCATCAGCACCGCCCCCCACTCTCAGCCAGTTCTTCCCTGTCCGACAGGGTCACTAGGAGTTGGAACCGACTCGATGCAGTGGGCTGTGTTCTGCTTGTTTTTGAGATCCTGAGCAAACAGCTCTTCCTCACTCAGTGAAGACAACCTCCCCAGAAAGCAAGGCCAGGCCACCTTCTTTGTGGTGGCTTCTCATTACCCTGGACAGACAGCTTTCTGGAATTTTTTTTTCCCCTTGGGAAATTAACTGTCCACTTGGGTTGTTAAAGAAATTAAAGAAAATGTTGTTTGGGTTTTCGTGTTATTTTGATGGCTTTCTTGTCTGCTTCATGTATTAATTTAATGGATATTTACTTAGCACTTACGAAGTGCCAGACACAGGCACTTGGGACGGTGCAGTGAACAAGACAAACGCAAGGAAGGCCCTGCTCCATGGAGCTCACAATCCAGTAGGAGAAGCAGTGAAAATCAGGATACCAGCTGCATCTGTGCTGTCTGTTGAGGAACGCAAGTGCCGGCACCTACACCCGTGGTTCTCATGCAGTTCCTCAGTGGTGGTGACCCCAATCATAACATTATTTTCCTTGCTACTTCATCTCTGTCAGTTTGCTACTGTTATGAATCATGCAACCCCTGTGAAAGGGCCATTTGACCCCCAAAGGGGTCTTGACCCACAGGTTGAGAACCGCTGACCTACACTGAATGAGGGTTGTTAGTTCAAGTTCAGCAAAATATCCTTGCAGAATACTGGGGCAAAAACACTCCAAATAGAGTTGTGCCTCGGATGTTCCGGGGCCAGCTTGCTATGGTCCAGTGTGGCTCAGAGCTGAGTGAGCCAGGAGAGCGGTGGGAGAGGAGGCAGAGGCTTAGGGTGTTGCGGGTGGGTGGCCAGCCAAGAGGCGGTCAGACTTGACAGAGTGGGCGGGGACAGAGTAGAGGGCAGGGAGAGTGGGCGTGATAAGATGGTCCAGCTCAGTCTCCAGGCTGTGAGTGTAGAAGGGGTTGCCAACAGCATGCAGCACCTCCTGCTTGACCTCTGCAGTGCAGTCCCCTGGATTAGACTTCAGTCTCCAGGGTGTGGCCTGGCCCCAGGGCATAGACATCACTGCTTTTTCACGGAAGAACTACGAATGGTGGCAGTTTGAATTCCGAACCTTCCTCCCCACATGCAGACCACCACAGGTTCTCACGGAAAACACAAAAGGAGCCACTGCAGGCAGTGGGCCTGGTTATTACTGAGTGATGTTTTGTAGGGCTCTCTCATAATTAACAATATTGTGTATGTGAGTTTATATTTTGGTGGGGAGGAACCTATATTGCTGCTTGATGCTACAGTAATGGAAATTTTGCATATACTCTAAATTGACAAATAATCTTAGATCAAGAGAGATTATTGGGAAGATTTACAAAAATAGAGTACATTAAATAACTGCAGAACCTACAATCATATATAAAATTATTAAATGACATAATTTACTGCAGGTGTCTTAACACCTGCTTTCACTTAACCAGAAGTCTTTAAGTAATTATTATGTGCAACTGAAAAATTCACTTAGAAGAGAACTATTCCAAAAATACAGGATAAGCTGGTATCACAATTTCCCAACAGAGTTATGGACATGAACCACGAGCTCATTTATTATAATGTTACAAACAGTTAAATAGTCATCAATAAGATTGTTATCAACATCACATCAAGTGAAATTTTATACTCTGAAAATTTTAAGAGCAAGTTCTGTGTGAACAACGGAAAGCACTGGCGTCCGTGATAAGGCAGCAGTGGGCTCCACTCTAAGAGCCATCACTGTGGGAGGCACAGCGCGGGCAGTGTTTGGTTCTGCTGTACCCACAGCGCCACTATGAGCTGGAATGGATCCAACAACATCAGGAAAGCCCTCCTCATTTTGACCATTATTATAACCTTGCATTTGGGTTTGTTTATTTTTTTAAGTTATCAATCAACCATTATTTTAAAAAAATAGTGAAACCAAATTTCGTCTTAATCACTGTTCCATCCATCAGAGAAAAGACCTGACCATCTTTTAGTGTGTTTTGCTTTTTTTCCGGGGTGGAGGTTAGAGGTTTTGGAGAGGAAAACCATTTTCGCACATCACTGTCAAAATAAATAAACTATACACCAAGCACGCTGCCATGATTTTAATTCTTAAACCATTGCTGTGGTAGTTTAGGAAGTTGAGGTCCACTTCCTTTGAATGGGCTGTGGAAATACCTGGACGGTAATTTCAACAGAAAGGACGCAGCGTGTCCGCTTGGATATGGGGCTGAGGCTTACCTGATGCACCTATAGGGGAGGTAGCTGGGGTCATGTTGTGGACGTTGAGACCAAGACTCTGGGAGGGGCCTGGGGCAGACGCTGCTATCGGAGGTCCAGGAGGGTTCTCCCTCTGGGGAGAGGTGAGGGGGGTGGTCGGCTGAGAATTCTGGCCACCAGCAAGTCGCGCAAGGCGCCTCCGTCGAATCTATAATGAAGAAGGAAAACCAGGCATTTTATAACTATACAACCGAAACATAATTCTGCCTGAGAAGACCACCACTGGAGCTATCAAGAACCCAACAGACGGAGAAAAGGCATTGGATAAATCAAGAGCTTTGTTATGGCTGTGGCGAACGAATTGCAAGTTCAAATCCAGCAGCTGCTGAGGCTGGCTGCTGCTCGCTAGCGGTGGCTATGGGTTGGAATGGACTTGACAGCATTTGGGGCTGTCGGGTCGTGGGCTCACTGTGACCCACGCGCTGGAGCAGAACCGCCCTAGAGCAGCGGTTCTCAGCCTGCCTCGTGCCCCCACCCTTTCATTCAGTTCCTCATGTGGTCACCCCCAACCATTACATTACTTTCGTTGCTACTTCATCACTGTCATTTTGCTACTGTGATGAATCGTCATGTAAATATCTGATAGGCAGGATGTATTTTCATTGTTACAAATTGAACATAACGAAAGCATAGTGATTCATCACAAAAACAAGATGTAATTATATATTGTGAAATATTTCTTTCCTTTTTTGGGGAAATATTTACTTCTAATGACAAATCAATGAAATGTTGTCTTGAAGCCTGGTGTAGCATGGGTAAGTCTTCACGCCGGTCCTCGTCTGTGGGCTTGTCTGCATGTGGGCAGACCCACCTGGAGAGGATAGAGGAGCGGTGTCTCAGTTCCTAAGACCATCGGAAATGTGTTTTCCATGGTCTCAGGCGACCCCTGTGAAAGGGTCATTCAACCCCCAAAGGGGTCGAGACCCAAGGTTGAGAACTGCTGCCCTATCGGGTCTTCTGAGCTATAATCTTCATAGAAGCAGACCAGCAGATGTTTCTTCCTGTCGCTGGTTTGGTGTGAACGACGGCTAAGTTGATGATGGGTGTGAGCTTTTTTTTTTTCCCTCTCTTTTTTTTTCATTACCTCATTTTCCTCCCCCCCGCCCACTCCCCACTCCCTCATGAACCCTTAATAATTTATAAATTATTATTATATCTTATCTTACACTGCCTGGCGTCTCCCTTCACCCACCCTTCTGTTGCCCATCCCCCAGAGAGGAAGTTATATGTAGATCCTTGTGATCAATTCCCGCTTTCTACCGTCCCTTCCCTCCTGGTATGGCCACTGTCACTGTGGTCCTGAGGTGCAAGCTTTGGACTTGGCACTTAGCACCCAGCACACGTAACCACCGCGTCATCAGAGCCCTCGGGCCGCTCTACTGTACCCTGTAAGCCTCTCTCTCCATGCGTCAGAATTGACTTGATGGCGCTGAGTGTGGTTTGGGGACGGCCACCTCATGTGTGCAGAGGGAAACTGCTCCACGGGGGTGCCTGGAGAAGGCTTGAGCGGCCCGCGCCCTTTGGGTCATTAGTCCTGTTCAGACCCCTTTCTACCATGTACACAGGAACGCGTGTTTTCAATACACCAATGTATTTACCATGGTGATTTTTAAATAGGTGTGATTTTATATATCAAATTAATGGACTAAGCCAATGAAAGGGGAAAGAGAGAGAGAAAAAACCCTGCCCACCACAACAAAGTAACACTAAGACTAATTTTAGCAGCACTTGCAGGAGCAAATGATTAGCTGTCTTGATTCATTGCAATAAAAATATACTCTGCCACTGGCTTCCTTTAGTCTCCTGCAGTGACGCATGTGTACCACAGAACCCAGTCTCACAGAAAGGCTGCCCTACGACTTCATCCCTGTTCACGCAGCCAGTCAATAAGCTCCCATTGCCCCCGTGCTCTGTCCCAGGCAGTGAAGATACCTAACAGTAAGCCAACCCATCCAGTCACACGCTTTCCACTGTGAGTAAGAACGTTGAGAAGGCAAAACTACAGCACATGCTAACTTGCCTGCCCTCCTCACACTGCCCTCCTCACACTGATCAGTCCCAGACAAGAGGAACCTGATTCTTGACCTCCCTGTACGTGCCTCTGCTACAAATCACCTATCGTTGAACTGATCTGGTTATTTAGCTGCCTCCTGAAGTAGATTAAAACCCTTCAGGGAGAGAATTGGGTTGTATTTTATTGACAAAATAAACACTTGTGTAGTATTTACTAAGTTCTGACACTGCTCTAAGCACTTCACAAATGCTTCCTTAATCAATCCTTATAAAACCCCATTGAGGTAGGTACTTACAGGTGGGCGAGCTGAGGCCCAGCGAGGTGAGGTGCATGGTCAACTAGTCAGCGTCAGAGATGGGACTTGACACTATTGTCTGTGCTCTTGCTACTAACAGTCTGGGGGCTCTGGGAGGTTTCCAACACTGCTCCTGGGTTTTGTTTTGAGAAGGACATGATCGTACCTTTGCCCTGATCACTCTCGTTCTCTCACAAATGGCCTGTGGAGTTTGATCAAGTGGCTACATGGCCTGTCTGTCCACCAGATTCACCACAGAAGTAAATGTGAGGATCTACTTGTCCTCAAATTCAAATTAAAAAAAATTTTTTTCAAAATGACAATGTCACTCTTGTCACCAAATTTTCTTTTTGGGGGGGAGGAGTTATTTTTCATGAAAAGATGTCGTGGAGGGCTGTCGACCGGAGAGCTTGTTGTTGAGATGGGCAAGTTCATGAACCCCGGGACGGTGGTGCTGACCCAAGCCGGATGCTATCCTGTCCTCAGGAAGAACACTCGGGCCGTCCCAACAGTCAGCTCTCCGGGCTGGAATCGGCTACTCTCCCCAGAGTGGCCACTGCCAGGGGCAAGAAGAACACTGCCAAGAGCTCAGAGACCAAATCTTTTGTGAAGGTTTGTAACTATAATCACCTCATGCCCACCGTGTGGACATGCCCTTAAACAAAACTGTCATCAACAAGGATGTCTTCAGATATCCTGCTCTTAAACCCAAGGCCCACTGGGAAACCAAGGTCAGATCTGAGCAGAGGGACAAGACAGGCAAAAACAAATGATTCTCCTAGAAGCTGTAATTCTAGATCTTGATTCAATCACTAACCCCTCCCCCCCAAGATGTCATCGATGCTAACATATGTCAACAGCACATAAAAATTGATCCTTGTGCCTCCTTCTGTTCAGGCTTTAATAACTATGAAGATGTCCATACGCAGAGGTAATGTTATCATGTGTTAATAAATTCAAAGAATTACATCCTACTCAACTGCCACAAAAAACTGAAGAAGGCCTGAGCTCTTAAAAAGACATCAAGAGTCTATTTTCTCTGCTCAGCAGAGGCTTAACATCCATTCCCAGCTCTCCCCCTCTGACCAGACTTCTGAAAGCAGTCTCTGCCCTACAATCGGTCAGCTTTGTGATCAAAACGTCCTGAGAGGGCCTGTGGCTCAGAAGAAAACCCTGCAGGCACACAGGGTCAGACTAATCCTTAGGAACCAAAGGCCCCTGGGGGTGAGCCATGGAGGGGGGGGGGGGCGGCGCTGTCCCTGAGGGCTGTTTAACAGCTCTCAGGCAGAATCAACAGGAGCCAGTGTTTCCCTCCTTAGCTAAGGTCCTTGGGCAAGTCACAGCCACTTGATACTTATCCATTTTCTCAAGGGTAAAAGTTAGGAAATTGGATGGGTGAACCTTTCTTAGAACCAATCTTTGATGCTTATCTTTTCTGAATGCAGAGTTGTCAGCTTTAGCAAACAAATATACATTCAGGTTGGGGGGGAAATATTTAAGAATTCAACTGGCGTGAGATCAGCACTAATGATTTCATTACTTTATGGGTATTACTTAAAGTGTTGTAGTGGAAAACGGCATAGCGATACTTGAAGCTACTGGGAATTGAAATCCCGTATGATCCAGCAATACCACGATTAGGCATATACCCTCAAGAATAACACAACACGAGGGGATGTATGCTCTCCCATGTCCACAGCAGCACAGTTCACAACAGCAAGAAACTGGAAGCAACCCAAATGCCCAACAGTAGCACAATGGATAAAGAAACTATGGTATTGCAGATCTATCTAGGTAAGATAGGCTGGATGAACAGTCTGGAGGCAAAAACAACGGACCGATGGTTCCGGGAGGACATGGGAGAGGGGGAGGCGGGGGTAAGGAGGTCCCAGGGACAAGGGAGCAACAAGTGATCCAAAATTAGTGGCAAGGAGGGTGTGAGAAGCCTGGTAGGGATTCAGCAAGGGCAATATAACCAAGAGAAATTACTGAAACCCAAATGAAGGCTGAGCATGATAGTGGGACAAGAGGAAAGTAAAAGGAAATAAAGGAAAGAACTAGGAGACAAAGGGTATTTATAGAGGTCTAAATACAGTCATGTACATATGTAAACCTATTTATATAGGATGGTGGGGAAATAGATCTATGTGCCTATATTTATAGGTTTAGTATTAAGGCAGCAGATGGACATTTGACCTCCACTCAAGTACTTCCTCAATGCAAGAACACTTTGTTCTATTAAATTGACATTCCATGATGCACACCTTCCCTACACAATCGCTAAAGATAAACATGTGCATAAGCAAATGTGGTGAAGAAAGCTGATGGTGCCCGGCTATCAAAAGATATAGCATCTGGGGTCTTAAAGGCTTGCAGGTAAACAAGCAGCCATCTAGTTCAGAAGCATCAAAGCCCACATGGAAGAAGCACACCAGCCTGTGTAACGATGAGGTGTAGAA